GTGAAAGTTTTTGAAAATAAGAGTAGCAAACTTGGTCTCGGGGCCCTGAGAGTCAGGGCTTCCAAGCTGGCTGCTCAGCGTTACCGTCAGCCAGCCCCAGATCTCAATTAGGGGCAATTCATTAGCATTTAATAGCAGGTGCAAAGCCATCTCCTCACCAGCAGCACCGCCGTTTGGGTAGGAAATCGTCTTGTTTTAGAGCAGCCTCCAACTCTCCCGGCTTGTTGTAAAGCTGACTACCACTTTGGATAGCGGGGTGTCGGCGCGCCTGCGACTGCCCGCACGTAAGCGTTGCACTTTGTTTGGCTAATTTCTCCCTGCCAAGACATAAGGTGGAAATCTGCCTGGCTCGATATTTATTTTGGAAGACAGGGCTGTGAGCGAATGCGCCGGGAGAAATCGAGCTGAGATAAAGCAAGAGCTGGGCTGGGGGTTGGGGAGGGGCTGGGTGGGTGGAGGAATAACACCGCCCGCGGAATGCACTGCTTTTGCTTTCTCAAAGTCTTTAACAGACAAATAAACAAACAACCTCGGCGGCAAACTCCAGAAGTGCCGGAGACTTCGGGGGCTCAAAACTAGGCTGTGCCGAGGAGCCCCGGGGCGGGAGTGTCGCGTCCCGCTGCACCCACATCCCAGCTGGCCGGGCCGGGTCTTGGAAAGCGTCGCCGTGATTACACCCAAGTGGAGAGCAGGATGGCTCCGAGCCGTCTGATCTGACGTCAACATGTCTCTAGCTCCTCGCTGCAAGATAGAGGGAGTAGAGCCGGGGGAGGGACGGCTCTAATCATTCCCAGATGTCTCTAATAGCAGATATAAAGACTTATATAGTGTCTGAGAATAAATTTGTAATCAATGCTCTAAAATCGCATCATCAAAGCAATGGTATTTCTAGAGGCAAATGGGGTTGGGGGAGGGAAAGCTGTGGAAGAAGGAGACACACACCGCGCTGGTTTGGAAGGTGGAGAGGGAGGTGCGGGATACACCACAGAGCCGCTGGCCCTGCGCATCACCCGGCTTTGCTAGAATTTATGTGAATGTATAATTCAGATAACAACTCTGCTTTACTCTCCATTATGACAAGCTGAAACAGCCGAACAGTAATTGGCCAATTAGAAATAGAAAAGATTGTAGCTGGTTTGCAAAGGCACGTATTTCATGGCCCACCGAAAAAAATTTCCAAAATTAAAAATACATAAAACATCGATAAGCCTCTCGTTACAGCAGAGGGGATTATGTCTGTAGGCGTGCGGAATGCGTTTCCTTCCCATCGCTACTTGGAGATTTCTTCTGTGTGTTTGTGAGTCGCCGGGCGAGTACGTGTGAAAAAGGATTAAGGTTGGGTTTCCAAGCGCAAAAAGAGGATATTTTGCTTAGAGGTTTTATTATTAACCTTCTCTCCCCCCCTCCCCGCCCACCTTTCAAGCTCATGCTGTCTCCACGGCATCCCCAGGTCGTATTTATATCCCTATATTTGCCCGCATATGTCCCGGCGCTTGTTCTGGGGGTGTCTGCGGCTTGACCAGAGAGGCCCCGTTACACCTTTTTGACAACGATAGCAAATAAGCGCTAATTATTGCAATAATCTTTTGACTTAGACAAGAGCTCCTGGGAACGATGGGGGAGTGGGGGTGTGAAAAAAAACCAAATTCCCCACAATACAAAGCAAAACGAAAGAGAAAAAAAAAGCCCCGCCACCGTTTATCTCCCTTGCCTGCAGAAATGCAGGCATGGCATCCACACCCGATAGCAACGAGGTCCTATAGGGGTCCCGCACATTGCTGAAAGTCCCCCAAAACTCAGTATTGCCAGTTGCCTATGGGCTTGCTGCCAGCGGCGAGGTACAGGGCCGGTCCCTTGCTGCGTCAATGCTTCCCAAATCCAGGACGAGCTCTTAAAACCCATGCTTCTGTCTGCCCGAATCGAACACTCTCGGGGTCCCTGGGGGCTTACGCCGCCGCTAGGGAGGTCCTTGCCTCCTTGCGAGGAGGCGACCGCTCTGTTTCGGGCATGTAGCCGGACCCGCACCCCGGGGAAACCGAGGGATCGGTCCCTGGGAGGGCAGGGGAAGAGGGATGTCACCCCAGGGAGGTTTGTCTCTGTTCCTCTCCAAGGGGAAGAAAAAAATTAAAATGCTATGTTGCTTGAGACCGAGCAGAGGATCTCGCTCCCTCAGCCGTGAAACGAGGCCATTCATGGGTCCATGAAACCATCTGCAGAGACAGGGCTTTAGTGACCCATCTGCTCTCCACCGGTTCTCTGCTCTCCCCTCTCTCTTCCTCCCCGCACAGAAATGCTGCAGAGTGGGAAAGGCTACCATCCCTCCTCCTATGTGCCCTTCACCTCAGTAAAAGCTCCTAAAAATATTTTGGCCCCGAGGAATTACCGACCAAGTCGACGGGACGGTGATGCCGCCGGGTGCGGGCAGGGAGCGGGGCGCAGCGCTCCACTGTTATCAGGCCTCGGCTCCGCCGGCGAAGAGCTGAGGCCAGGGCACTGACATCCCCGTCTACCATCAATTTACCTTCTGCTTCCCCATTTAGCTTTTAACGTCAAACCCTACATTTTTGTCGGCTCCGGCCTGTCTAGGGCTCTTGTGATTTAGCTGAGGGAATGGCTGCTCCTGAGAAAATAGCAACATCCTCGTTAGTGAGCAATTAAAAGAGGTAGTCCGTAGTGGAGCCAGAGGAGCTCACGGTTCTGATAATCTGATGTTTCAAACCCGGAAAATTATTGATGGGGTAATATCGGACAGGCGATTCGGAGATTGCATATCGGAGTGGCCCGCTAGCCCCCGGCCCCGCCGCGCATCCCTGGGGGAATTGTGGTCTGGTAACTCGGTGAAGGGAAGACACGGCATCTGCAGAGAGGCTGCCCGGAACCTGCCGCACGGCAGCGTTCGCAGCCACCTCTCTCCCCTTTTATTCTTTCGTGTACCGCTATAAAGAAAAAAAAATAGTTGTTTGAGCAGAGAGTGGGGAGTGCGAGAAGCTCCAGTTCATCAGCTGGACAGATAATAGGCAAGTAAAAGCAAACAAAGGGGGAGATTCTTCTCTCCAAGTGTTATAAACAGAGGCAAGTGCCTGTAAACACAGACCCACGCCGGAGAGCAGAGCCGGGCTGCCTGACCCGACGGGAGGGAGGGCACATCACTTTTGTCCGGTTGTTGTAACCCCGCAACCTCCCCGCTGTCAGCAGGGGCGACTAAACGGCGCAAGGGCTCCCTTATCTTTTTATGGGCAATTGCACATCTACCTACGCTTACGCCGGATCTCGTCGGGAACCACTTCCTTAGGCGCGGCAGCATGGGAAGGCAGGCAGGTATGGAGCCTTGGACCTGAAGAGAGAGCCAGTTTGGTTTAAATTGAGATGATTTAAAATATGAGCCCGAATTTCATTATGGAAAAGGTGGAAAACTTTGTGCTTAATCAGGAATGGCCAAAAATACCTAGAGCAGCTTTCTTATGTGAAAACCTTTTAATTTTTCCCTTGCCTACCTATGATTCAGAAGCATGCCATGCATTTTCCAGCTCTGAATGTCTGCAGCTCGCCCTGGTACTGGGGAGCAGAAAACTTGCCGACCTAGGAACGGGACCCGTGTAAAGGAGTCTATAGACAGGGCGAGAGATATAAAGGAAGAGAGATCCTGTTGAGAAAGCAGTGAACCTACTAAGTAGAGCCAGAGCATGGGCTGCTGCAGTTTGCAGTTAGATAAAAAAGGTTAAAAAACCCTGTACTCGCTGTAGCGTACTGGAAACGTGCAACCCAGGAGAGTTTTAGGAACCACAAAGTTAATATTAAGTTCACCATAGCTCATTGTAAATCTTACATATTCCCTACAACACCACCACGTCCTCCCCCCGTACGCCTCCGCAAATCCCTTGCCTTGTTCGCTCTTTATTCCTTGACGTAAAATTACCTGCTACATAATCACTCCGAGAAAAGCCCGCCGGCCTCTCTCGCCTGCCTCCGGCCTCTCTCCGGGAAGCCGCCCCCGCGGTCCTCCCCCGCTCCGGGCCCGCGCCTGGCACCGCCGCCGCCCGGGCTCCGGCGGCAAGAAAACCGCGCATCTCTGCTATTCCTGACCCGCCCGGGGTTTGCACCCTTGTCCATTTCCCGTTCGCAGTAGGTCTCCTGCATGGAGAACACCACCACAAGGAATTCCTACTCAGCTGAACTGCCGGTTTCTGTTCAACACTCACGGGGCTGAGAGATCCCTCCCTCTACCCCTCCTTTCACTCAGTCATTTGTTTAAAAATAAACTTAGGAGCCATCTTTATAATTTAGTTTACTTCCGAATATTTTAAATATTATGAAAAAAAAAGCCATAAACAACGCTGTTATTCAAAACATTTTGAGGTATAAAACATAAAAAGATTTGGATTTTCTTTTTTTTTTTCTTTTTCTTTTTTTTTCTTTTGTTTTGTAAAAAACACACACAGTGGTTTATTGAGTACTTACAACGTTTACACCTTCAATATTAATTAGATTCCACTTTTTCCCTTACGGACGGAAGTGCACATACCCAGTAACTGCTGAAAACATCTTCAAATACCGAACGACCACAACAAAATTACAACACTAAATACCGAGTCAATCGAAACATTGGTGCAACTGCTTCTGTTGAAATATAGCTTTATAATCCCATGAATATTTATATCCAAAAGGCCAAGTATTAAAGATACACTTCACATACACACTAATGCCAGGGAGGGATTTTTTTTCCTTTTCTATGGTTCTGTTTTCCCCATGTGTTTTATACAGAGCAAATAACATTCACGAAACATTTAGAGACATTACCCCTTACCAAGCTGGAGTTTCCTCTTCATATATGGAATGCTTTTTCCCTCTCCTTCTAATATCCACATTTTGGGGGGGGGGGGGGGGGGGG